CGCGCCAAGGGGGTGGGGGCGCAGTGGGGGAGGCGCGCGTCAGAGGCAATAAATGAGGGGTGCGCGAGTCGACGGACTCTAGGCTTCGCTCCCGCTAAGAGCTGGCTTTTGCAAAGTACTAAGTTCCTTCCACCTTATGCAACCGAGCTACCCACTTCTCCAAGCCGTGCGACACTCGGCGCATCTCCGCGGTTTTCCTTCCTGTTCCCGCTGGGGGCCCCAGAAGAGGGGTTTGAGAGGCCTGGCCGCGCCACTCTGCTCCACTGGAGGCGGGAGGAGCACGCCGCTCGAGGCACAGGCTGCAACGCCCGGGGCCAAGGCTGACGTTCAAGTGGGAAAAGAGCGGGGAGCCCAGCTTGGGAGCAGCTGGACGTGCACCCTTCCAAGCTGCCACTCCGGGGAAGCCCTTCGCGCGCCTCACCTGGAAGGCAGTTCCGCTCGAGGTGGGGTGGGGGCTTGCCAGGGAGACTTTACTCGCAGAGGTGCCTTTCGGGTACTGCGGGGCAGGTAGGAGCTGTCCTTTCAGCACCCGTTGCACAGCCTCCTCCCCAAAGGCTAATGAAGCCCCCCCACACACGCTTGTCTGGGGGCTCCCGTAGGTCCCTGATTGCCTGGACCTCAGGACTCCGTCACAGAATGATGGAGAGGGCTGTGACTACTCCCCTCCCCCTAGCACTACCGGTCTTGATACATCTAGCCCAGCTGCCCCCACCCGACGCGGCCACCAAGCTGGGGCGCTGCAGACACCGCAGCTGGCGAAATCCCTCCTTCCACTGTCAAGCTGGCTTCCTTTCACTTGCGTGAGGAAAAGGAGGGTGGAGGAAAGCGCCTAGGGATTAGGAAACAAGTAGTGGAACAGGTGTGATGGCAAAAGTGTCCCTCTCTCCAAAGCCATGAGGTCCTGGAACTAAGCAAATGTACTGAGAAGGTAAGCGATTGGAGTAGCAAGATAAGTGTTCTTCCACTGCAACTGGCAAACGAATTTTAAGTCTAAGAATTTAAAAAATTATACTTGAGAAAGGGCAGCACAGTAACGGGATGAATATCAAGGGATGTTGACTTACAGGTTGGAGGACATATAAATAGGTCCCCACTGAATTCAGGGGGCAAAGGTAAAAGCTGGCTTGTGCGAGTCAAAACAAACTACCACCACGAGTTCAGACCAAGTATTTTGCAGTTTTTGCTCCTGGGCAGCCCTGGACATTCTGCCTCTTCCCACTCACATGTTCCTCCTGGGGTAGCTCCTCCCTACTCCACCCGGAGCACCTTTCTTAGAACACAGGAACTCAGGCCAAAAAGAGACACCAGTTCCATTAATCACCTCTACTGTACCCCAGTATAAGGGAGTCAGAGAAAGGAGACGACCCAACAGCCATGCTCACTGGGCAGATTCCGTTTGCTGCCTACAGCCCCTCATTCCCGCCTTAATTGTAGGGCTCTGCATTATAGCCGAATAATTCATGCCTCCCTAATTACAGCTGTCAACAGTCCCGTTGTAAAGCTGGAAAATGTACAGCACCTGCTCTCCAGGAACCCTGTGCCAGGGATTGGTAGTGGGGAGTGCCAGGTGTGTTGGGGGCCTTGCCAAAGGGTACACTGATTGGCTTTGCAATCATAGGCTGGCATTTGCGCTTGACTCCAGGAGAAGGATGATGGCTAAAGGGTCTCCGTGCCAGGTATCTAGGCATAGAAAGGGTAATACCTGGGCAGAGAAAAGTTACAGGTCAAAGAGTATACTCAATACTACTTGCCAAGGTCCCATCTCTCCCAGAGGGAGTTGCTCGGCAGACAGCTTGCAGAAAGTAAAATGGGAAGACTGAAGAGTAGCATTTGGTTGGTATTACTAGCTGGTATTTGCTGCTGTGGGGCACCTGAAGCGGAGTTGCTCAGGCAGACAGCGCTTCAAAGGCACTAATCCTCTCAGCGGCTCTGCACGGACGCCTGGCAGGGGGAGGTAAGGGAAAGGACACAGCCTTGACTCTACCCTCACCTTCCTGCTGGGGAGCCTTGGCCCTCACAGGCAGAGGGCCTGGAACAAGTTCTGCCATGCTGAGACTACATTGTGTCAAGGCCTGCTTAGGGAGCCAGGTCAGAGAGCTGAGAGAAGCCTTGAAGATGGGAAGTGTTCAAGATGGTGAGGGCAGGAGAGTCACTTGGGACAACGGCTTGGTTCTACTCAGTCCTGGTGGTTACTGGGAAAGAGGCCTGTGTTCCACTAGACCACTAGGGCCTATAGGACCTTCTGTTACCCTGTAGCCATGGAGTGGGCCGGTCTCACTGAGGAGTGGAGCCTGGCCCCATGCCCTGCAAGAGGCAAGAGAAAAGCTTGTGTGGGCTGAGTCGACAATAGGTAATTGGATTGTAATCACCCGCCTGGCTTCTGAGCGCCATGGGGGCGCTGAGCCTTTCAGTGAGCAATCAGTATGCCTGGTGGGAGGGGTAGAGATTCAATAGCAAATCCCAGGTGGAGAGCCAAGGGGAGGAGCAGCAGACTGGCAAATTTTCTGCCTCTCCCGCCCCTTTCTTCCTTGCCCAAATGCTGGCTGCCTATTAGCTATTTACCAGCAGATTCAAGGTATAGCCAAATCTTTTGTGAAAGTCAGGTGGAAGACTAGGACAGATGGGTGAAGGTGCAGGCTTTGAAAAGACTTCTCTGCAATTCTGCATGCTGAAAGATGTGCTAGTGGAAAAAGAAAGTGCATCTAGGGGCACAAGCAGGGGTGGCAAAGGCAGGTGGGGCAGGCAGCCGAGTGACCAGAGTAGGATTTAGTGTGCTTGTGGGAAATTCTCACCCTCAATCCTGCCCAGGGGCCACAGGCAGCCCAAAGGTATCTGTAGCCAGCAGATCTGACCTTGGGGACTCCCCTGCCAAGCAAGGGGAGCATAATTCATCATTAGGAGGGGCGTGCCTTTCACCAAGTAAAGAAAGGGGAGTGGGGCCCTGGAGGCAGAGGGCAGGGCAAAGTGGCAGGTGGCCAGCCTCACTCAGGCTGATGCAGTGCCCAGATGTGCCAGCCAGTCAGCCCGCTTGAGTTCCAAGGCCTGCAGGAAGCTTTGGACTCGCTCTTCCCGTCTGGCTGAGAGTTTGTGCAAGCGTGTCCGTCGGAGCTGGGCGTCCCCACTGGCCTGGAGCCCCTCTCGCAGCAGCTGCTCTGTCACTGCAGCCTGGTCCCTCTCCAGCTGGTGCCGCTTCCGTTCTTCTGCATACATGTCTCTGGCCTTCTGCTAGAGAAAAGCGGGGTTTGGGGTAGGGAGATCATTTTAGGTGTGGGTGGAACTGGATGGAGGAGGTGGGATGGGGCACAGAGTGGGTCAATGGAGAGTTTGTACAAGTTATGCTAAGATTCGGGAGTAGGTACGCAGTGGGTGGTGCCCACATTTTACAGACATGGCTGTGGCAGTTGTAGATTCATCTTGGTTTGGTGGAAGCATGTAGATTCCTTAAAATTCTTCTCAGGCTTGTACTTGGAAGGGAACCAGGTAAATGTAGGCCTGACTTCTGATTTCCCTACCAACTAGCTATGTGGCTTTAGGCAAATCCTCTCCTAACCTTATTTCTTCATTTGTAAAGTGGGGGCTGTGCTACCTTCAAGAGTGGTTTTAAGGATTAGAGATAATATATGCAAAATCCTCTCTAGCATATTAGCAGGCTCTCAAACAGAAACAACAATTTTACATGTTATTGTCTATTTTCTGCTACAAGGAAGGTCCTATCGCTGTGTAGGACACTATTCATCAGGTGACTTCCTGTGGTCTCCCAAGTTACTCTGAGGGTACTATCCTTCCAACTCCCTGAACTATTTTTCAGGGTTCAGCTCCTATCTACCTTCTGCAGGGAGACAGGTCTGACTCTCCCAGCAAAGGGCCCTCTCAAAAACACCCTAAGAAACAGATTCAGCTTCCTTAAAATGCTTACTGTATCTGTCTAGGACAGGTGTTAATGTCCACAGTCCACTTTTTCTGTTAGAAAAGAAACCCTTGTGGTCTGGGTATTTAGCTCAGTGGTTCTGGCACCTGCTTCACAAGCACAAGAACCTGAGTTCGATCCCCAGTACCAAAAAACAAAAAAACAAAAAAAACCCTTGCTGGGTGTAGCAGTGTACACGTGTAATTTCAGCACTCTGGGAGACTGAGACTGGAAGAAATTAAGTTTGAGCCCATCCTGGGCAACTTAAGATCCTGACTCAAATTTTTATTTAATTTAATTTCATTTTATTCATTTATTTTGAGACAGGGTCTTGTTATGTAGCTTAGGCTGGCCTTGAACTCACAGCAGTCCTCCTGCCTCAGACTCCTGAGTGCTGGGATTATAGTTGTGCACCACCATGCTTGGCCTGTCTCAAAATTAAATACAAAAGGGGTCAGGGATTTAGCTCAGTGGTTCTGCCACCTCCCTCCCAAGCATAAAAAAAATTAAATACAAAACAAAACAAACCTTTTTAAAACAAGGGTAGTAGCTTGGTGCAGTGGCACACACCTGTAATATCAGAATTTGGGAGGCTAAAGGAATGTTACCATGAGTTCAGGGCCAGCCTGTACTACAAAATGGGACAGTGTCTCAAAACACCAAAGACAGAAGAAGAAAAAAAGGGGGAGGGTCATAGTTGAGGACAAAACCCCTGGGTTCATTCCCCAGTATCACACACATGACACCTGAAGACTCCATGGATTCCCCAGGGCACCTGGAACCAGCTCTGACACTAGGTGGCAATCCTGTTCTCTGGCAGCACTTCTCAGACCTGTGTGTCTCTAGACAAATCATGAACTCTTGGGGCTAAGGATGTGGCTCAGTGGTAGAGCTCTTGTCTTGCATGCATAAAGTACTAGCTTTGATCCCCAACACCACAAAAGCCAACAAAACCACGAACTCCTAGAGGGCAGAGACTGCCTTGGGATACCCTATACAATCAGTCGCCTCACTATGTAATCCCAGGAGATAAGGGAGATGTGCCAGGCAGAGAAAGGGGGGATCCCTTTGGAGTAGAACCAGACCTGGCTGTAGGCATCACAGAGCCTTTGCACTAGAGCTCCTTCTGCCAAGACTATACCCTAAGTGAGCAACTAGGATCTCCTATAGTAAGGCTGGCAAACCTATGGCATGAGTGCTGCAGTGGGCTCTTTGTATCACTATCACTAAAAGCTCTAAGAAGTTCACCATCACTGCCCTACAGAATACCATAGGTATCTTATACCCCAGTGACCCTTGCCACATTCTACCCTGTGCTATAAAACCTTGCATTCGTGGCTTTGTCCCAGTTAGCCTTGACTGTCTGCATCCTTTAAAGAATGAGGGCTGAAGGGCTGAGGATTTGACTCAGTGGCACTGTGGCTGCCTTTCAAGTGCAAGATCCTGAGTTCAGTTCCAGTACTGGAGAAAAAAAAAAAGAATACGACCTGCATGCCAGGCATGGTGGCATATGGCTGTAATCCCAGCACTCAGGAGACCGAGGCAGGAGGAAAACTGTGAGTTCAGGCCAGCCTGGACTACACAGTGAATTCAAAACCAGCCAGAACTACATAGTGACACACTGTCTCAAAGCCACCCCCTCAAAAGAATGACATACATTGGGGCCAGGGATTTGGCTCAGTGGTTCTGCCGCCTGCCTTGCAAGCACAAGGGCCCGAGTTTGATCCCCAACACCAAAAAAACAAAACAAAAACAAAACAACATACATGTATACAAGCACTTTGTTGTCCCACTTGACCCTCACAATGGAGCTATGAGGGAGGTGTTCTCTGTTGGAGGTTTAGAGAAATGGCCTGCTAAGGTCTCTTAACAATAATGTCTACTGTATGTGTTAATTTTTTATAATGTCTACTGTATGAATGAAGATGACAAAGGACAGTTCTAGACTCTTCTTCCTGTAGGTTCTGGAGTAGTCTTAGTCAACACTACAGGCATGAGCAGTTGCTCTACAGCTCTCCATCTTGTGGAGGAGCTTCTACATGGCCTTAGAAGGAACCCTGGGTACTATATATAAGACTGAGGGGGCTGTGGAGTTGTACCTATATGTTACCTATATGGAGTCATACAACATAGAATGTAGAGGAAGTCATCAGGGAGGCCAAGAAGAAGGGCCATGCAAACACAGAAGAGAAAGCAGTTATGGTGAGGACAGAAGCAGTGAAATCTCATAGGCAGAATTTGAGCTGCCCTTTAATCAATGGGCAGATGAGGTGTATGGAGAGAGAAACATATTCTGGCAATGGGGGGAGCAAAGTCACATGAAATGGAAGAGCTTGCTTAGACCAGAGTGAGTCTGCTTGGTGCACTGAGGTTTGAGGAATCCTCAACCCTCTAAGTCTAAATCTTACCCTACAAAGAGATGACAGTACTCACACCTCACTAGATTGAGTAACACATAATGCATATCTGTTAACTATTCTCTCATCACTGCTGGTGGTCAGGGCAGGATGGAAAGGATAAGCAGCACCCAACCCCAAAGGGAGGAAATGCAGAGCTGGTTAAAGGCACCATTGTGAGGCTCAGGCTTCCTCCAAATGGTGGCCACCACACCACAATGTCACAGTTCGAAAGGAGCGCTGGGAATCAGTGGTTTGCTGTGACGATGATAGAGCTGGGAAAGCTCCTAAGGCTGTCCATTCTAGTCTCCTTATTTTACAGATAAGGACAATGCTGCAGACCTGAGAAGAGACTTGGCCCTGGTCACAGCTGAGTTGAGTTCTTTTGGTTTCTCTATGGTGACCTGAGAGAATGATGGAAACATATCCATCTCCACATGGTCAGGACCTACTCTCCCAATCTCAGAAGTGCCTCAGATCCTCCTCAGGAACTCACCCTCAGAAAACTCAAGCTAACAAAGTCCTATTGTTCAATGTCTCTCCCTATGTTTACTCTCCTGTGTTACGACCAATTGAGGGAAGTAAGTGAGTTAATTCTTTTTTTTTAATCATTTGGGTTTTGTTTGTTTTTGAGACAGGGATTCAATATACATCCCAGGCTGGGACCTTAACTTGTGATTCTCCTGCCTTAGCCTAAGTGCTGGGACTACAAGCATGTACCACCATGCTGAATTGGATGTTAATTTGTGTATGTGTGTGTGTTACTGGGGATTGAACCCAGAGCCTTTGTACTGAATTAAATCTCCAGCCCTTTTTTATTTTAAGACAGGGTCTTGTTGAATTAATTGCCCAGTTTGGCTTGAACTTGTTATCATCCTACCTCAGTCCCCCAGAGTGCTGAGATTACAAGTGTGCACCACCATGTCTGCCTGGGTGTTTCTTCTTCTAGAGACTTTTGGTATTGGCCTTATGCAATCTTGGTACAAGGGTTCCAAGAAGCTCACTTGGAGAATATGCCTCTAACCTATTAGTTTAAATTCTTCCTGGGCATTAAGTCTCTCTCCTTTTGTTCTCTCCTCAGAAGAATCAAGACTAAGATGTAACAGCCCTACCAGGATGAAAGTCCTCAAGTCATTTGCCACACTGCTGGCAACTAGAGAGGCTGGAGGTTCTGGGCTTTAAATATTTAAGAACTAAGGGTATAGCTCAGTGGTTGAGCACTTCCCTCACTTGCACAAGGGCCTGGTTTCAACCCCCAGTACAGCCAAAAAAAAAAAAAAAAAAAAAAAAAAGGAGGTATGTTTATTTTGCCCCAAAGCCACAACCAGCATAATGCATGGGGACTGTGTTTGTGAGGGTTTCCCTGAGACTGAGCACCCCCGAAGCAAAGAATGGCCTGAAGTGCCCCCAGAGTATCTCTCAGGGGGATTGTACTGGGGACAGGGTAAGCAGGGTGCTGTGTACATGGCTTCGGGGGACAGGAGAAATCAGATGAAGGACTGAAAGATACTTGTGGTAGGCAATATTAGCCACCACACTCAGCACTTTTCATGTATTAGCTTATGAATCCTTATCTAAAACTTGTGAGGTAGGTTGTGCTTGTTACATCTTTTCATTTTCTAGACGAAGAAAGTGATTGTGAGGAGTTAAGTAACTATCCAGTCAGTGTGACAGCAACTATAAGTAGGCGGCGCCATGATTCAAATTCAAGAATGCCTGAAACAGTAATTCAAGCTCTTAACTTCTGAGGAGAATACAGTGACCACCTGAAGAGCACCACAAATATAATGGATGGACTAGCCTGCTTTAAACTGTGACCAAGGCATGAGAGGAAGTTTAGTGGGAATACTGTATTTGTCTTCTCTCCATGTACTGTTGGCTACAGAAAGGAGATGGACAAACACATTATCATCTCCGTCTGTTTACTCATTTTGAGCATTCATGGACCCACGAGCCACACAACTTCTAAGGACCAGATGCTCCACACTGTACCACACCTCTACCCACTGTGTCCCCTTCCCTGGCTTGATTTTCTATCTGTCCCTGCCTCCCTGTTGACAAGTCCTCTGTATCGTCCATCAAGATCTTCTCCTTTTGCCAGGCTCTAAGACTGGCTGGGTGACTACTAGAGACAATTACGGTGCTTCAGATACCAAAGTCTGGTCCCCAGCAACTGACGTCTGGGCCCTTCATCCTGGTAAGATCCTCTAGGTTCACAGCCAAGCTCCCTGCCCTCTGGCTTGGCTTCCTGTATAGAACACAGACATACTTGGCTGGGCCTAGGGACAGAAAAGCTCATATCTGGAAAATGGGAACTTGGGTGATAAAGAAAGAGCACAGACATGGAAGTAGAAAAGTAAAGAGCATGGAACAAGAAAATGTGAAGAGCTGGGCATGGTGCCATGTGCCTGTACTCCCAGCACTCAGGAGGCTGAGACAGAAGGATTGCCACAAGTTTGAGGCCAACCTGGGCTACATAGTGAGTTCAGGGCCAGCCTGAACTACCTAGCAAGACCCTGTCTCAAAAAAAACCAAAAAAAAGAAAAAAAGCGAAGAGTCCCGCTTGCCCATAATACTGGTTATATAAATAAGAAGAGAGAAAAAAGGTGGAAAAGGTCTCTCTGGTCTGAGCCAGTCAAGGGAAAATGTTGTTAGTCTAGAATTGATCTTTAGTGCTTCTGTTGAAGTACAAAGATTTCTAGAATCAGAGCTATGAGGGCTCCTAGACAGACAAGGTCAAGCTAGGGCACCCATAGATCCCTGCCAGAAATGGCCTTCAGAATGGCTGTTACTTTGCTTCCTGACTCTAGGGCCGGGGATTTAGCTCAGTGGTTCCACTGCCTGCCTTACAAGCACAAGGACCAGAGTTTGATCCCCAGTACCAAAAAAAAAAAAGTTTCCTGACTCTAAAAAGGGACAATAACAACAGTATCTACCTTATAACACTTCACAGAAACTGCGTAAAGGATACCTAGAAGAGAAAGAGCTCAGTAAAGATCCACATTTATGATTCATGGGTAGAAACAAAATGAATCACTCTCTGTCTCTGTCTCTTTGGTGGTAATGGGAATTGAACCTAGGGCTTTCGCACTAAGCTACATAACTAGTATCCCCAACCCTGCTTTGAGACAAGTCTTTCGGAGTGATTAAATTGCCCAGGATGGTCTTAAACTTGTGATCTGGGCTTGAACTTGTGACCCTCCTATCTCAACCTCCCCAAAGTGCTGATTACAGGTATGCACCACCATGCCTAGCTACAAAATGGAACTTTTTTTGTTTGTTTGCAGTACCAGGGATTGAACTCAGGACCTTGTGCTTGCTAGGCACATGTGACACCACTTAGCTACATCCCTGGCCCCAAAACGGAACTCTTAATAGTTCTCTCAGACACTTTTCACCCCATCCCAGGAAAAAGAACAACCATATATCCAACTATTCAGTCCAAAATTTGGTTCGTAATGTTAGTGTTTGCATTTATTTGCTTTATCTACTTTATCCTGATTTATCTATAAATCTCTTTTTTGTTTTCTTTTTGAGACAGGTCTCCCCTGCTCTGTAATTCAGGCTGGACAGTCTGGACTTGAACTTGTGGCAACCCTGGCTCACCCTGCTAAGTGCTGGGATCATAGACCTGTGCCATCATACCTGGCTAAAGGAGCTTCAAAATTATTTTACCAATACACCATTAACACTAGGTCTAACTAATGTTTAAATTTGCTTTCTAGTTTGCATTAACCTTAAAACAGATTCCACTAAAAATGTACAGTCTAAGAATTGTGTTTAGAAAACCTAAACTAATTTCTTACATTTTCTGGGAGATTATGGTATTTCCTTTATATGATTTCATTTGCTTTAGTTTTAACATTTGTTTCATCGCTCACCTTCAGTCCTAGCCTGCTCAATTGCCACTACCCTATCTCAAGGCACATCTTTTCTCACTTTGGCTCTGGCAAGAGTTCTGTTTCTTGGCTCTGCCTCAAGGTCCTGATTTTTTTGTTTTTTGTACTGGGGACTAAAGTCAAGACCTCAGGCAATTTACACAAGCAATGTTCCACTGAGTTGTATCTCCAGCACTTTTAAAAATTTTATTATTTACTTATTTAGTACCGGTGGTCAAACACGGGACCTTGTGCCTGCAAGGCAGGTGGTAGAAACACTGAACTAAATTTCCCGCCCTAAATTTTTATTTATTTATTTATTTTGCAGGGGGGTTACTCACTGAGTAGTTGAGGTTACTCACTAAGTAGTTGAGGCTGACCTGGAACTCACTATGTAGCCCAGGCTGGTCTCGAACTCACAGTGATCTTCCTGCCTCAGCCTCCCGAGTGCTGGGATTATAGGCATGCACCACCTCACCTGGCTTTAAAATTTTATTTTTGAGGAATATAGCTCAGCGACACAGTGCCTGCCTGGCAAGCTCAAGGACCTGAATTCCATTCCCGGTACCAAAAGAGAAAAAAAAATTATTTTTAAGATTACTAAGTTACTTGGGCTAGCTTCAAACTTGCAATCTTCTTGCCTTGTTGGCCTCCTGAGCAACTGGGTTTACAGGTGTGCACCACTACACTTGTCTCCTGAGTGATTTTTACCAAGTGCCAAACAGACCCAGCCATTCCCCTGATTAAGTACTTCATAAGCCTGTCCTCTCCAAGCTCACCTCATGCCTTTCCCTTCAGGCATACTGAAATTTGTTTCATCTTTCAAAATCCAAATTTTATAACCTCAGTATCCTTGGTCTCTTTCATTACCTTCTAGCACGTCAATTTGCATATTTCATTGCCTTATTATAATTAAGAATTATCTTATATGTTTTTTGTTTACTGATTACACAACCAAAACTATAAGCTCCATGAAGGCAGTGATCTTATCTGGCTCCTAGCAGCTCATCCTCCCATGCTTAACACTATGCCTGAGTCACATACTAGGGACTCAATAAACATTTATGGAATGGATGAAACCTTAGGTGACTCCACTGACAGCCAAGTATAAAATGAGAAATCTGGAATTATTATAAGACTCTTGGGCAGCCAAATTATAGACCCATATACATGCATAGCCATAAAAGGCCCATGCCCAGCGCCTCTGGGTTTCAGGCACAGCCAGTGTGCTCTTACATTATACACCCAGTTCTAATATGCTTGATTAGCTGATTTGACTATAACAGCTAATTTTAAATAGTAAACAGGGAAGGGGCTGGGGATTTTGCTCAGTGGTTTTGCCGCCTGCCTCGCAAGCACAAGGGCCTGAGTTCCATTACTGGTGCCAAAAAAAAAAAAAAAAAAAAAAAAAAAAAAAAAAAAAAAAAGTAAACAGGAAGAGGAATGATGCCAAAATTAGCCATTGACAACAATAAGAAACAAAAGAGGGCTGGGGATTTAGCACAGTGCTTCGGTGGCCTGCCTTGCAAGCACAAGGACCCGAGTTCAATCCCCAGTGTCAAAAAAAAAAAAAAAAAAAAAAAAAAAAAAAAGAAATGAAAAAGGTAAAATACTGAGAAATGTATAAGAAAGCTAGGTGAGGTGGCGAATGCCTGTAATCCCAGCACTCTTGAGAGGCTGAGGTAAGAGGATCACAAGTTTGAGCCCAGCCTAGGCAATTTAGCTAGACCCTGTCTTTTTAAAAAAGTAATTGATTAATTAATTAATTAAAAGGTCTGGGGAACACAGCTCAGTGTGAAGGCTCCTGTGTTAAAAAGAAGAAAAAAAAAGAAAGATATCCTAAAGCAAGGTATTTTGGGACCATTTAACTTAGAGTAAACAGCCCTACTATTCAAGGTCATGGCTGTACAAAGAAGTGTTTAAAGAGGGTAGAGTCCATTATAAATATCATCATCATTAGAAAGTGATTATTCTAATCACCATGATTATTATTAGCAAGTGCCTAGTACAGAGTAGGTGTTGATGAATTATGTACAAGATACATTCCAGAAAGTTTCCCATCAAAAGGGTAAACAAAATTTTAATTCTTAGGGGCAGCTCTGATTATGTGGAAAAATCTGATATTTGTTCCTGACAGTAGATAATTGAAGCTTTGTTATTTTTCTTTTCACTTGTTCTAATTTTATTATTTCAGTTTCCTCATATTCTGACCTAAGACCAAGAAGACTGAGAAGTCCTAACTCACACTATTATTTTTTTCATGGCCATTATCTCTCTAAACTTAGGAACAAAAAGGGAAGTAAGAAATAGCAACCAGGAATGATGGTGCATATCTATAATTCTAACATTCTGGGAGGATGAGGAAAGGACCGTACGGCCTTGGCAACCTAAATAACTTACTGAGATCCTGTCCAATAATAAAAAGGACAGGAGATGTAGCTCAATGTGAAGGCCCCAAATTCAATTTCCAGTACTTCAGGGGGGAAAAAGCAGCTTTAGGTTTCATAGCTGGGCTTAATGGCATATACCTGTGATCCTACATTCTGAGAAACTGACACAGGAGAATGTGAAGTCTGAGCATAGCCTAGGTAACACTGATAAAAGGAGATTCCTGTCTCAAAATTTAAAAAACATAAAGATAAAAATGAATTAAATTTAGGTTTCTAATTCTGTGGGCTTGGGGCAGTAAACTTAATTCTCCTTGCCCTTCTGTTTTCATATATAAACAATGAAAACCTGCTGAGTTATTAAGTAAAATAAAGAAATGTACATGAGGTAACCATGCACTTAGTATGTTAGCCACACCACCTATACCACCATTATTATCTATGTTTATTATTATTTTTTTCTATGTTTATTATTATCTATGCATTATTATCTA